AGTCCGGATCTACAATAGATGATTTAAGCCTTAAGCCATAAGAAATTGACCAATTACAATCGAATTCGAGAAGAATATGCGACTGTGATTCGCCCATTTCTTATGGCTTAAAACCCTGTTGTAGATCCGGACTAAGGCCGTAGCACGCAAGCAGTAAGTGAATTGGCCAATCACAGTAGAGACCGTAAAGAGTCCTCTACATAGAAGTCGTAGACGGTCGTGGAGTCTTAAGTCGTAAGAGACTGACCAATTCCAATCGAGTATTCTCCTTATATTTGATTGTGATTGGTTAGTTTCCTACGACTTCAGAACATCTACGACTTCTATGTAGAGGACCCTTAAGGCCAGTAGCGAATCCAGTGGCTGCGTTCAGCAAACTCAACAGTTGAGTGAGCACTCGCTGCTATTTATGTATACTTCTAAATCTAAAATCTGGTTGGACGATCTAAAAGAATACACCAATAACAGCTCACTCAACTGTTGAGTTTGCTGAACGCAGCCATTGTAAAGGCCATGGCACATAAAAAAACTTAAGGCGCAAGACTTAAGCAGTAAGCGAATCGACCAATCACAATAGAGACCGTAAGACTATTAGCGTTTTCGATTGGGGTGCACTGGCTGCACTCAGTGTCAAGAGCGTGTTCGATTGGCAGTGCCAATGCGCACTTGGCTAGTGTCACGTGTTCATTTAATCGCACGACATTCGCGTAGTGCGCACTCAGTGCGCACTAAGTGGCACGAGATATTTTGACGGTGCCAGTTCAGTGCACGTTTTATCACAGTTAAAGATATACATAGGGACAAGCAAATCTGCGCAGTTGAATTGAAAACAGGGTCTTGTTCCTACTCTTAATATCTTTTACTGTGGTTTTGTAACATTTTGTTGAACATTGCTTCAAAGTGAACAAAAATGATTTTCAGCTTTAACACTGAAAATCTTGGCGTATTCTTTTGAACTTGCACTATTCAGTGCAACCCAAGGAACTCGTCTAGTGTTGGTGTGAACTGAGTGCGCACTGGTGCGCATTAACTTTTGCCCAATCGAAAACGCTATAAGTAAGCAATAGCGAATCCAACATATTGATTTCGTGACTGCTTAAAGCCTGCGGCACACGATGCTTGTTTTCCTGCTGGATTGCTAGCTGGATTAGAATCTTGCCACTGTATTGGCTGCGATGCTGGCACTGACAGCATCACATCCAATACGGTGGCAAGATTCTAATCCAGCTAGCAATCCAGTAGGAAAACAAGCATCGTGTGCCGCCGGCTTAAGTCTTATAGCGAATTCGGTCGCTTGCACTATGTTAGATTAGTGCATACTAAAAGCTGCTTTACATGAAATTAACAAAGTTAAATGTAAAAGTATATAAATATTTTTAACGATTAACTATCTACTGATGATATAGTCACGTTATTTAACAAAATATATATGTATAATTTCATTGTCAAAGTTGATTATATTGTAGCACTGCATTAAGATATTTTATGTAAAGCAGCTTTTAATATGCACTGATCCAGTGTAGTGCGAGTGATCGAATTCACCATTAGCCTTAAGTTTTTTTTATGTGCCATGGCCTTTACGATTTTCTTAGTGATTAAAGCCGGGAGCACATAGAAAAACGTAAGTCCGTAAGACGTAATCAGTGACTACATTTACACGGCACCCTTAATCGAGTTTAATAACATCCGCAGTTATGAAACTGGCCAATCACAATAATTCCATTCTCCCGACGAAAAGCTATGATTGGCCAATTTCATAACTACGGATGTTATTAAACCAGATTAAGCGTGCAGTGTAGTAGAGGTCAGTAAGGAAATCGTAACATTGGATTCGCTACTGGCCTTACGGTCTCTACTGTGATTGGTCAATTCACTTACTGCTTGCGTGTTACGGTCCAAGTTTTTGTATGTGTTATGGGTTTAAGGCCTCTTACCTTTTCATGGAGCGAATTTCAAAAATTGACCAATCAAAAAATGCATTGGTCAATCAAGTGAGCCACAGCCAGATGCTAGATTCACACAGCATCCGATTTGCGTCGTATGACGCTCTGTAACCAATCAGAAAACAGAATTCCGATGATACGAAGCAAAATCCATCGGAATCCTGTTTTCTGATTGATTGCAGAGCGTCATATGACGCAAATCGATATAAAAATCACTTCGTGATTGATTGAATTTTGTTCCGCTGCCGCATTAACCGCTCAATGGCTGCGTTCAGCAGAGAAAGCAACTTTGCAACTGTTGTAAAATTCTTCAATATGATTGGCCTTGCCCTTAGTTCCTCATTGGATCTAAATGTATAAACCAATCATATTCAAGAATTTAACGACAGTTACAAAGCTGCTTTTTCTGCTGAATGCAGTCAATGTGACATCAGCCTTATGGCACGATCCCATGGTGCGGAATTGGCGCAATGGGGAATTGACGGAACGTTTGTGATTGGTCGTAGCTTTATTCCGCCGTTTTCTGTTGCGCAAATTTATTTCTTTTACGGATTCCGCCGATGCCTGTATATGTGCGTGTGCATATACTTATTATAAAAACTAACCTTGTTAAACTGGTTTAAACGGAGAAAACTATCTCCTACATGCACATGGTTAACCCACTGAGCTATGTATATATTGGAATGGGCATCGAGGAAAATTTGTGGCCGTAATTGATCAGCCGCCATTTTGGCTGGGTCAAATATTTGAGCGAATCAGAAGCTTTCAGGTGCTCATGCGCACTTATGTTTAATGTTCTTTAGTAAGACGCATATGGCATATGAGGTGGTTATCGTCCACCGACGTGATCGGACGTGATATTGCGTCATCATTTTTGGAAAGTGTGGCCGGCTTCAAACGCGCAATTGAGTTTTACTCTTTTAAGTGTTCTACAATAAGGTGCAAACACTCCGTCGCCAGTCGCAATGCTTCGCAACAGCCAATCAAAAACGTCAATAGTAACTAGTGATTCTTCTGATTGGCTGTCATGAACCATTGCGACTGGCGATTGTGTCTTGGCAACTTAGCCTGGATCCTCATACGGGCAACAGCGCTCTGAAACCGACCGATGATTAGTGAAAAGCCGGTTGTGGGGGTAAAATTACCCCCACAATTGGCTTTTCACCAATCAGCTCTCGGTGTCAAAGCGCTGTTGCCCGTATGAGGATCTGGGCTTATTGTAGACCACGCTGTAGACTTTCGTATTCTCACGCAAAGAAGAAGTAAGACGCATGACGCATATATCAGCAAAATTATCGTGTGTGAGGTTATATTTGAAGGATTATAAAATCGCGTGACTGTCTACAAAGCATCAACATGAAGTGCTGTGTGCCTAAATGTGAGCAGAGAAGTAAATAGGGCCTTTCATTTCATAAATAACAATTTTTGTATTAAATATATCAATTCCTGCATATGTGTTAACAATGTAGGATATGAAGTGTTATTAAAGTTATTTCATTGAATGTACTAATAAAACTGAAGTAACCTTATTTTTGTTTATATACCATTCATGTCCATATAGATTTCCATTCATCGATAATACATTGATCGATACATCGATCGCAACTTGCGCGCGAACGCTTCTGATTCGTTCAAATATTCGACCCAGCCAAAGTGGCGGCTGATCAATTACGGCCACGATTTTCTATGCTTTACAGCGGAGATGCCTATT